TTATTTATTTATTTTTTTAAATTTTTTTTTGGGGGGGGGCTGAAACGAAAGGACTTCCGTAAAGAGCAACCACCCCAACAAACAATAAAGAAAAGACCTAACCCTACCTCTAGCCCTCTATTTTACTCTGTCTCATAGTGGTAGCTCGTTATGGAAGTCCCCCCCGATGAAACATAATTTTGATTTTTATCAACTGGTTCTGTAATTATTCACACCAGTTATATTACCTTACCCTAACAAGGACTAGATCTAGATTCTATACAAAACCAGTGAAAAAGGCACGGTTCAAGTCATACTACTTAAAAATGTGGGTTCCGTTTGGGGATACTAGTTTTGACCCCATCAACGATTACTTCTGGTTCCTAAAAATAGGCCTACTTTTTGACGTGTGTGCCGATATGGCAAAACACCCTATCAAACCTATATTGCTTGTTGTTTGAGTTGAGGGCAGAGATCTAGAATCTAGTCCAATCGTCATATGATAATGTGCAAGGGCGGCTTAGTAAGGCACAGAATTAAATCTTGAATCTAAATTTATCTCAACCTGTCTCCATTTGAACATAAAATCGAATTTAGCAGGCTGATAACATGTGTGAGTAGGCTACATTTGTTGAACATGTTAACAATTGTTAAACTAGAAAAGTTAAAAGTAGAGTCTAGATTTAGATCTAGATCTCTAGTTTGCTTCCTGAATGGCCATAGGGTGGGATGCTAATATACAAAATAATGGTCAGAGATCACGGTAGGCTAGATCTAGAATCTATATCTAGATATCTATATCTACTACTTAAAGTAGGTCCCGTCAGTCCCGTCTGTTTAGACTTGGCATCATGATCCACACAGATATCGATACTGATTTTCAGTGGTCCATTCAGTAGCTTACAAAACGAGCAGTAAAATTTCCCTTGTTTTTAGGCTGAGGTTATTGGTACAATAGTGCGTACAACTCTAACTAGAATCTAGTTGTTAGTACAATTGTTATTGTACTAATAACCAGACAGAGTTATTCATACAATTATTCGAATTTTGGAGGTTGTTGGTAAAAATAAGCCTAGATCACTAGATCTAGCAATCCAGTTGGTTCTCCCCTGGGTTGAGCATCAATGTAATAACTTTAACCAGGCCTAAATTGGTAGGCCTAAAAGGAAAAGCAGGCTAGATCTATAGTTCTATTAAATAAGTAGATCTATAATTATGACTAGATCTAGATCTAGAATCTAGATCTAGATCAAGACCTAGAATCTATGTTTCTTTGTTTTTATACAAAACCATGAGTGGAAATCTTTGAAGTCAAAACATACAATTATGGGGAAAAAATTGTTGGTCAGTCGGGGGAGGAGAGAGAAGAACAAAAAAACAAAACAATACCAAAAAAAACTTCCGGAACCGGGATTCGAACCCACACTCAAAATATAATACTAACGCAGACACGCTGTCATTTCAGCCATCAGAACTATCAATAAAAGAAGGTAGATTTTATCTTAAATTTAATATTTACAGCACGATTTCAATGCAACACATTTCTAGATCTAAACAAGATTCTATCTATCTAGATCTAGATCTAGAATCTAGATCTAGGGTCTAGATCTAGATAGTTTTTTGGGGGTTTTTTTACATGAGGCATGAGACGGCTGACATCAGATCGGTAGATCTAGATGAGGTCTGACGAAAAATTTAAAAATTTCAACGGGTGGAATATTGGAAACACTGATCTAGATATAGATCTAGAATCTCTAGATCTAGATAGATCTAGATCTAGATATCTAGGTCTTAATCTAGATCTAGATCTAGTTCTAGATCTAGATTCTAGATCTAGATTTTTAGATCTACTAAGACAGAACATGTGAATGTGTAGTAGGCCTGTGGACATACAGGCCTACTGTTGTACGGATACCTGCAGCACTTCATACAATTGTGCGTACAACGTTGTACGGATAACTAGACAGTTGTTCGCACAATTGTACGGTACAATATTGTACGGATGGCCAGACAGAGTTGTTCGCACAATTGTACGGATAACCACTCCGTGTTTTTAACAAGGCAAGGGCGTTTCAGGGGGGCTTGCCCCCCTTGACCCAACAAAAACATTGGGGGAGTTTCAGGGGAGCATGATGACAATGATGTTTCGCAATTAGATCTAGATTTGGAAGGACTTCCGTAACGAGCGACCACCCCATCAAACACAAAGAAGAGGCCTAGACCTAACCCTAACCCTAACCCTACCCCTAGCCCAAGCCCTCAATAATCAATTCTGCTCTTGTCTCATAGTGGTCGCTCGTTACGGAAGTCCTCCCTTAGATTTGATAGGGTAGATCTAGATATAGATCTAGATATAGATCTATATCTTAGGGCTTACCGGCCACCTCTATTCTCACCCGGAGTGAGAATAGTGCAGGCGAGGCTTGTGGCTATTCTCACCCGGTGCGCGTTCACCAAATTTTGCGTTCACCCTAACCACAGAATTCTACACTGTGATAACAGAAAAATTGTAGAATTCTGTGCCGTGAACAAACGTTCCATTACAACTGTAGCCTACTAGATCTAAAAGCGTACAATTTTGTCTGTGGGCAGTGGAGAGAGAGAGAGAGAAAGAGAGAAAGAGAGAGAGGAGTAGCGCGAGAATTTCGGCATGCCCCCCTGAATTTTACCACAATTTAATGTTTTGCAGTTGTTAGGTTTGACATCTTAGCTTACCGCGAATCAAACGTATATAGATCTAGAATCTAGATGTAGGTCAGGCTCTATCAAATAAGGGGGGTGGGAACTACCGAAAAAGCGCCAGAATTTCTTCGGCTCGATTCGAAAAGTTAAATAGTCGTAGCATCTTTGTAGACAACCAAATTAATTTACTTTTGTGTTTTAACATCATTTTTTAACTTTGTTTTGGTCAATTTGATCGTCCACACCGATAGACAGTATTCAGAAAGAGACAGAGAGAGAGAGAAGAGGGGAGGAGTTGATCTTGCGAGAACTTCCGGGCGGGTGAGAATAGCCACTTTCATATCTTAGATCTAGAATCTAGATCTAGACTCTAGATCTAGATCTAGATCTAGAATCTAGATCTAGATTATATCTAGATCTAGATCTAGAATCTAGATCTAGATCTAGATCTAGGCTTTCTCTCCATATCGGATGATATCGGCACGCGAGTCATTTACCTAGCCTTTTTCTAACAAAATGGACCCAATTTCTTTTGGGGCAAAACCTAAACAGGCCTATTGGAGAGTGAGCATTCTGATAAAACTAGCAGCTCTAGAGATACATCTAGATTTCTAGATCTCTGTAGTATTCAGCTTACCATCATCTTTTTACAGTATCATTCATCGAAATAACCAGCTAGACTAATCTAAATCTAGACTCTTAGATATCTAATCTAGATCTAGATCTAGATCTAGTCTAGATCTAGATCTAATCCTAAGCAGTCTTACGACGATGACAACGGACACTGACAACTGGTTAGTTAGATCTAGATTCTAGGCTACGCTAGATTTCTAGATTCTAGATCTAGATCTAGATCTACTTCATTCTCGACAATCAAGAAGACTGAAAAGAATGGAAGCAATATTATATATCTATAATCTACACTCATTGGGTCATCAGGAAGAAAAGGCTGATAACAAAAAGGGGTTTCATTTGATCATGCAAGTCTCCATAAAACTATGAAAATATCTGCAAAATGAGAAAGTAAATATTCAGTGACGGCTGGCTACAAACTTGGCAACAAACAGATCAACAGACCAACTTACAAAACTCGACGAGCACAAACTCGTTGTCTGCTATGGCTCCTTCGAAATTTGAATTCGTCAAAACAAGGACACCTTCGTCTTCTTCGATGTCTCCTGCTGAAACTTTGACAATGACAGCCAAAGCGAATAAGGCAAAACGCAACATGATTTCCAGCTGGTGCGGACGATCAGCAGCCTAAAGTGTGTTCGGTTAAAATGGACCGAGACTTGATCCTCTCTCAACGTGGCACCGGTACGAGTTCCGGTTTATTTCAGCTCAGCTTCCCCGTGTTGGGTTTTCATTGGTCTATAATAATGCCCACGTGACCTGCATGTATTTATATTTTTTACTTTCACTTCTTCATTGAGTTGGAACGTGTATTTGATTGCTTCGTGTTATGGTTCGCTTCTCGGTCAGCTGCTTGAAAGAATTTGCGGAAAATACAAGGAATACACAATGAAATGTCAATGTGTGTTGACACCTGCTAGCATAGGGGGAATACAATCCTACTTTGAATAAAATGTTTCAATAAGAAGTAAATATAAGGCCTCTATTTCGTTTCCCCCTATATTTTCATAATATGTACCGTATGATAATAATATTTAAATTACGACTAACACTACTAACAGACAGTGACTCTATATTTTAGCTCGTTAGTTTTACTGCTCGTCTTATAAAATCGAAATACTTAGAGATGATTTATATATTT